ATAGGTGGAGGGAAGAGAGTCAGTAGCACAACCAAGATGTTGGGCAAGTCTGCAGTCTTAACCTCACTCACCCTAACCCCCAGCATTTTGATTTACACATGTTGGCCTTCATCCCTGTGGTAACTTCGAAACATCTACAGAACAGCCAGAGTATCCAACTGAGTAGGATCAGCATCGCAGAATATCAGGGTGTCGTCAACATAGAGGAGGTGGGAAAGGACAGGTCCGCTAGAGGAAGTTTGGAAGCCCCTAAGAATACCCTGATCATAGAGCCTAATGAGAGATTTTGTAAAAAGCTCCCCCATGATAGTAAACAGAAACAAGGAGCGAGGGTCTCCCTGCCTCAGGACTCTAGAGGCAGAAAAGTAACCTACAGGATAACCACTAATGAGAACAGAGAAGTAGGAATGGAGATACAGGCCTTGATCCAAGATCTCCACCTACTGCCAAACCCCATGCACAACTGGATCTCTTCAAGAATACCTTAGTCAACTATGTCATAGGCCTTTTCCCAATAAAGCTTAATGACAAGGCCCTAGGAGAGTGCACAGGGTGCTCAGGACCATGATGGTCCTGTGTAGAGTAAGAGGACGTGGAGCATGAAATGGTCAGAGTAGGGACCGAACTAGACTGGGGGTGTTTCCTGTGGACTACGGTAGTCCAACCATCAAGGAACGGAGGAGAGCTCTCATGGCAAAAACCAGTTGCAAAACCTTGGATAGAGATATTGATCAGAAAAGAGAGTCCCTTATACTGTAGATAGAGGGGAAATGAAATCCTTGTTGGGGACTCTACAAGGATAATGACACGACCTAAGAGGTGCTTACTAAAGGATTTTCAGTGAACCGAGATGAAAACCCCAGAGGAGTCCCCAATGGCCTTGAAGACCAGTTGTGATCAGATGTGCATCGGGATCCCTTCTAGCCATAGCCAGAACTTGGTCATTCGCACAGCATTCATAAACTCCTCCCATTTCCTTAATGAGAGCCAACCCCCTCTAAAATATAGGTTACTCCGCCCAACAGCAATTGGGGCATCAAAACCGTCAGGCAAGGAAAAAAGATAGTTGTCGTTGTGCAATAGCCTACACGTGATCTGCTTGTTCTTGAAAACATACTGAACTGACCTGGTGATACTTCTGATATTGTTTCTATGCGGAAAGAAATATGCAATGTAAAAATTGTGTAAGGAAGAGATACACTCTTGAATCTCATTGGACTTAGGGAGTCTAATCTGAGGTACAGCATTTGAGTAGGAGACCTGAGGACGTGGAGAAACCCTGTCAAGTGGGGGAGGGTCTTTTGAAGGGAGAGAAGCAGATGGGGTGCAGGTACTAGACCCCAACAAAGTCAGCTTAAGATTTCCTAACCTCAACCTTATTAGAAAGGGCTGAAGAAGAGTGGCGCAAGAGAGGTTGGGCACAGGCAGGATCTATGAACTGATGGTAATATACGTACAAAGGAAGAGAAGGAACTTTGGCTACTTTAGATGACCGTCTCCACCCGGACCCGATGAAAAAAGTTGGATCACTTCTTATGGATTCGTTGAGAATGATTCTGATCTAGTACATGGCCTATTAGAAGGCGCTCTTTGGCTCGCTCAGTGTGCACATTGATTTGAGTTTGATGCACTTGACAGTTCAGGTAAACAAAGAAAGTCAGCCGAAGAACTTCCTCACCTCTTTCCGACGGCCTACTACATGCCAAGGAAGAGTTAAAAGTCACTTTTTTTTTTCACTGCCATTCTCTCCTGTAAGAGATCAAGAATCCAGAAAAGAGAGAAGACCGCTGCTTGATGCCAAACCAACCCTGTTCGCCTTTTGAATCAAAGTAGGTCTCGACTTTTGTATTGTAGTCGGTCGGGGGAAGCTACCGCGTCTATGACAGCTCCGCTTCCTCGTCTTGCGTCTGGCAAGCTTCTACTTGGCTTGCTTCTCTAAAAAGGCTTAGAATCAGGCTTCTGTCAAAGCGACTGATCCAACAGAAATCCCACATATTGAGCGCAGCTGATATGCGGCTACGGCTAGGCGATCATACCATATCATGCCGCATACTTATTAGATGAGGATAGACCCCTATCTATACAGATAGAATTTTGTTCATGGATAGACAGACATTCCATTGATTCACAAAATGGCTCGTCGATTCAATCATTCTTTTGGTCTGTCTCCACCGCCCCGTCCCAAAACTGACCCACGGCACAGCGCCCATTTGCTTCACGCGCGGGAAGGCAACGAAGTTCAGTTCAAGAGACCGCAGTAGAGTGGAGCAACCACGACACAAAGTTCCTTACCTTAGCTGGATATTGCTGGTGCCACCTATAGGTAGGTAGGCGGATGTGTGACATTTGGAGTTGTCGTTCGTGCACTTGTCCCCAATGGAAGAATTAGTGATCCCCAGCAGATAATGGCCTTGCCACTCGGTCCCCGATGGACAGCAGGGGATTCGGTATAGCAGCTCACGTTCGTTTGCGCTGCGCATTCCCCACGTGTGCTGGACACGTGTTAGCTGTAGGAAGTATGTATAGTATGGTTCCGAAAGTGACTTCGGTTCTCCAGTTCAGGCTCAACTCCTCGCTTTACGTTAGCGGACCTACAGGTCGGGCCGGGGCTCCGCGATCTTTCTTTCTGTGTGGGACGATGCCGGGGAGAGAAGGGAATGCATCGAGACGGCGAACAACAACAACACAACTTCATTTTTGCTTTTCCCTCCATGAGATGAGCCTGGCCGATGGATAAGAGAACAGAGCTGTCCCAAAAAGCGCTTGGGCACTGTACATACGATGTAGACTCCATCAGATACATATCGATTTCTTTCTGATGGATCCAGAATAGAGACTTGTCTCCCCAATAGATAGAAAGAGGAGATTTCCCCTCGATCTTGAAGCCCAGTAGGATTAGTCATAGGCGAAGTCTCTGCAATTCTTCTCTAAATCTTCCATTAGGCAAACAAATTTTCATTTTGTTGGCTCCCTTAGCCTCTTAACTACTATTAAACGAAATTTCCTTCTATTTTCGTACTTATTCTGGCTAATTTAAGTATGAAACTGAAAAATATGACCCAAAGCCAAATTCTTCATAATAAAATTGTTCACATGCCAAACAAGTTGACTATGGAGTTCTTGGCCACTGTAATTTCATAGAAATGCCCCCATTTTATCATGCTACTTGATTGTGATATTCTATGTTATGCTGCAGAAAAAGGGGAGTGCAGATGCAGAGGAACAGGTTGCAAGGGCTTGTGCACACATCAAGGAATTGGAGCTACAGGTTTAGGAATCAGCTTTAAAGAGGCTTTCATTTAGGACTTCTTGATTCAAAATTTTATTTTATTTTTTATATTAATTAATGTAATTTAATAATTACAATTGTGTTTACAGTGTAGAGAAACTCGCTTCAGCTAGGGAACTCACTCCCTAGCATCATGCACAGCGCTGACAAGCCCTTAAATAAACTGCAAAAAAAATGAGAACAAATCTGAAAAAAAATATACAAAATTATTAAAAGAAAAATTAAACAAAAAAAAAAAAGCAACCTTTAGGAGTCCAAATAAACTTAAAAAAGTACAAGAATAACATATTTTAAAATAAAAAAATTTTAAAAAAATTAAAAAATAAAAAAATAAAAAAGAGAACATAAAAATAGGGATTTATGGCCAAAAAAAACTCACCAAATACATCTCAATCAAGAAAAATTGTGTAGCTTGACTTAAATTTTTACAACTGTATTCAATTTTTTTGAATTTTTTTTAAATTCTGCGAGTTGTCACATAACTCGGAGGTACTCGGCCAAGTCTAGGTGCACTATTTACAAATATAAATGCAATGGTAAGGAGATGGGTGTACCACTTATCTAAATGTAAAGAACTAAGCGACCAAATTGCAAACCAGGGTGCTTATAATGATTTCTTTGACATATTGAGGACAAATTTCTTATTTGACAAAGCAGTTATAAGAACCAATAATGTTGGTCATCAAAACCAACTTTCTATGTTTTATTGCTTCATTACTCCATTTTATTTCTGTTCTTTATTATATTTATATTTATATTTATATGAAAGAAATGCCACAGGCCAAAACAGTCAACAAACCAACCGCCTACCGCGAGAAGCAAAATGGTATCAATGCGAATTTCACATCTTCAAATTAGCTTGTTTTCTTGGGGGCAAAATTCAAATTTTCAACCCTTTGACCTCTCATGCAAATTGGGTTTTAACCAGTTATTAAGCTTCGAAATTTTAAAAAATAAACTTCCTCTCAGAGAGGCAATACTTTGCCCCATGCATTATATCCAAATGGCCGGGGCAAGAAATGGCAAATGAAGACTTTGCACCAAGATACCTAGTGGGCCTGAGGGGTATTCCTTGACTCATTTTGGTCCGAGAAAAAAAGCCAATGTCCTAGGCCCATTCAGCTTAAGAGAAAGGTAACACTAATAACAAGGGAAGTATGGCAGAGATTATAAGCAGATAATGAGAAAGAACAAAGGCCAATAAAAGAGTTTAAAATAGAGACAAGTTGAACAGCTATGCATTTGAAGAAGCCCTATAACACCACCTTTGTCACCAATGGACTGATACTCACATGTGAGCTGAAGGAATCAGTCTCACATTCCATGCAGCATGACACCAATAGGAACTCCAAGGAGCATTCAGCTTTATTTTCCTTATAACCCAAAATACCATGCACTAATAGAAGCACACATGATCCACGATAGAAAATTATACACGTGACTTCACAGACAAACATGCCAATTGATGCGTATAGAAAATTTCATCCAAAATATTCAAGTAAACCCATGGAAAATCCACCTGCCAACAAATATCAAGCATTGCAAAAATGATGATGCACAAGAAAAATCATGCATAAAAATTTATGGTTGAAGTCCAATAGTGAAATAGGGTATATCTAAATACTTGGCTATTACCAACTGATGATTGTTGAGAAAGAAGGTCCAAGCGAAAATCATTTAGTATGGGGCCATGAGCTAAACATCTCCATACCTAGTCTTAGACTTGGAGACAACTTTGAGGCCCTTGGGACTCTGAAGAAATGATTTCATGGCATCCCAAAAATCATCCCTGGAAAATGATTCATGATTTATTGATTGACCTTGGACCACATTAACATCCAAATTTTCTGCCTCGTATTTCTCAGTATAATGAGTTTTCGGATTTTGATCAATGAACGGGGAAGTATTATCCAAACTTTCTTTACCAATTCCCCATAATTTCCAACCTCTTAAAAGCTGAGCAAAAAAGCCCTGACTCCCATAAGATTTCTCATCAGTCTTCCCAACACATCCTGTAGATTCTTCCTTTGGAGTTGCTTTGCTTACATCCAACAAATGTGAACTGCTATTAGCACAATCATGTGGCTCTCTTGATGGGGAAGGGTTTACAGTGGACGTCATTTTACTCTCAGAATATTTGCAACTTCCAACATTTGTGGCTGCCATTTTACTACAACTTTCAATTTCAGCATAACCCACCTGAGCAATTCCTACAAGTGTCACATTATGATGATCACTTCCATTACCATACCATAATCTCTTAATTCTTTGAAGGAAACCTTCCTTAACTGAGGAACCAAGTTCATCAACAGAACTAGAGTGGCTAATATCAGTAGCGGGAGTCTCTTGGTTATGAAGGACCGGCTCTTTTGAATCCGGTTGAGGGCCCACAGGTTGTGACCCTTCATTTGATTTAGTAGAAGCAGCAGGGATCGTTGTGTCTAAATGTCCATTAATTGAGTCAGGTTTCACCGGTTCATACAGTTTTGGTTCAAGACCATAAACAAGAAGCTTGGCTTCACCAGAAGGGGCACGCTTGATCTTCAAAATATTTTGCATGGCTAAGAGAAAGCGTGTGAACTTCTTATATCCAAAAAAATCTTTATCTATAGGTACATTATTCTTACTTAGTTCAGTACGAAGTTCTGGGACGCTGACTCCTTGAGGAAATGAATTCACTATTTTGTGAATTCGAGACACGACTGCTTTTGGGATCGGGCGGGGCTTTGGATCCATGGAAGATTCTGGACAATCCTCAGGAGAGCAGCCATCAGAAATGGGAAGTTTTATATCCATGAAAACTTCTTCAATAGGCCCCTTGTAGTGTCCATACCAAGAATTATACATTCCATCTGGTGGGTGGTTAAAATACTTGCCCATAAGAGAATGCCCCCTTACAAGTCCACTCCACTGCCACATAATGCTTGCAGCACTGCAAAGAACAGGAGAACACTCTGTACTCGCAAGCAAAATGTTGTAATTATTCATCCTTAAACGGTGTAGTATGTTTGAGAAATCCCCATCTCCGGAAATCAAGAAAAGATGGGCAGGTGGAGGATTTTGAGATACCCAAAGAGCAAGGTCGATCATGATGGACCTATCAGCACTGTTCTTTCCACCTACAAAAAGAAAATACAATAGTTGAATTAGCAAAATAATTGAACCAAGCAAGAAATCAGAGCATTCGCAAATCAGAAGAGTTATGCAAATCTCTCAGTGAAAATGAAATAGAATAGGTATTAAAAGTTGAACAGGCAAATGAACAAAGCATTTCCTTCTAAGCGTAAAGAAAAAAGGGCTCAAATGCATGAATTTCCAGCATAAACTGCCTTACAAGTGACCAACAAAACCAACAAAGATAAGAGTCTTACACGTGCATAAGATGAATCAATAAAGAGAGTACAAAGCAAAAGTAATGGCGAAAAGAGTACGCTAGAGCATAAGTATGAGCACAAGGAGAAGCTTCTGGATATCAAGAGCAATTGTGCTAAAAAATTAAATAAGATAAGAGCAATATGATGCATTCGATAAGTTGTTTTCGAGCACCATCATGATAGGGTTGTATTCCACATGTAGCATAAATCTCAAACAGTTTGGAATATATGAGATATACATATACAAGGTTCCAAAAAATGCTGGGTGGACCCTAGGTGCCAGCATGGTCTAGAATGCCCAGCACATATGTGGCAGTCAAGAACTTAGGCGCCCTGAGGTGTCAGACATACACATATATGGATATCTGTGCTGTCCAAGCACACATATATGCAGCTATATGCGTCAACGATGTATATTCATGCATTTATATGTATTCCAGATGACTTTTTTCTGCAAATATATGTGCATAAATGTTAAAACACATTCCCATAATTGAAAATGTTGATTCTTTGAATAACTGAAACAGTGAAAAACAAAAAAAAGTCCATAGCATATTAGTGATTTACTGTCTAAACACCAAAAGTCTTCTAAAAACCTCATTTGGACCCTAAAAATGACTCCAAAAAATATATGGTAACGTTTCAGATGATTCTACAAACTTTTCAAAAAAAAATTGATTTGAAAAACAAAACACAAAATCGTTTGATATGTGTGTGTGTGTTGGGGGCCTCCACTAGGGGATGGGTTTACAATAACTCAGCTCACCCTAGTCACTGCAGTAACTCGAGAGAGTTCAACAGGACTCTGTGCGTTTCTAACAAACTCAGCGAGCCCATAAACTTTTAAGAGTATAAAAGAGGGGGCAGAAATCAACCCCCATTCTTCCATTTTTCCGTGTTTTGAGCTTGTGTTTGCTCTGAAATCCATCCCTAGGCTTCTTTTTGCATCCTATAACAATTAAAAAAATCAGATTCGAGAGAAAAATAAAAAATCTTGGATTTGCAAGATTTTTTTTTTTTGAAATAGGGTTCCAAATTTTCACAACCTTAGCTCAATCTTGCCTAACATATCTTCCCGTAAGCCTATTTTTTAGTTCTCTATCAAATCGAAGGCTTAATTCCCTGCCACCCCCTCCACAACCCCAGCCCCACACACGCCCCCTAGACACGCACACACGCACATGCACATGTGCACGTGCACGTGCGCATACACACAAAAACAAACAAACAAAAAAGAAAAGAAAAAAACCTCAGATTTGCAAGATTTTTAATATTGTTCTATCAAGTGATAGAATCACTTGCATCAAAATTATTTGTCTCATTTTTTCAGTTTTGATATAGTTTTCTTATTCTTCGTATTTTTATTTTCTTATTTCCACTCCTATTTTCCCTATTTTTGGGGGGATTTGTCAGTGGATTGCGCAACTTAGGGAAGATTCTGCAATTCCCACTAACCTCTCATCAAGCCGACTCACTCCAAGCACCCAGCAAGTCCCAAAACGGGTCCGATGAACACTAGTCCAGACTACTTGGTCATGAATTCACAATTTCACTTATTAAATGGCAAAGGTAATAATCACAAGGTCCTCAAAAGTAAATTCTTGTTCACATATATTCATAGATCCCAATGCACCATGATGAAAGAAAAGCTATATATTTACAAAATCAGCAATTCAAATTCATCATCATGATCAATGCAAATTCTCATTCAAATATATCAATAATGGGTTCATATACAGCAACTTTGGAAAATGTAAGCAAAGGCCCCCATTTTCTCTATTAAGGAACCAACCGCAATATTACAGAAAGCTTGATTAGTTCAGCGTGTACAGTAGTTGAGGCATGTCGTACTCGTGTTAATCCTACTTGTATTGAAACCAAAGACGACCAAGATAATTTTCATAGCAAATAAATGAAATACATGGAATAAACTGAAGAAAAAAGGAGGATGATAAAATACAGATAAAAATTGAATAGAACTGAGAGGGCAATATAACGCAGAAAATAATTGAAGAAAACAATTGCAAGCACAATAAAATACATACAAGCATAAAGAGAAACATTTACAGAAGAATCTGTATTGTATCCAATTAGCCCACATTCTAGAGCTATACATATCTCAGTCTCAAACAATTTAGAGCAGGCTCCAATACCATGTTTACAAATCAATAGAACATAACACAGGGCAAACAAGACTTTTATCCTTTGAGCACACCATAACCACCATTCTCATCCATAAATCAGGATATTAACCTCATAAATCGCAAGGGAAAAAACTGGGGAAAGAAAAATAAAAAGATGAGAGAAACAAAGAAAAAGGATTAAATAGAAACAGAAACAAAGACATACTACGAGGAACATGGCTCAAGCAAATCCCAGTAGATGATAGAGCCTCCTGTGATGCCCTAGAGAGTTGAAAAATATCTCCAAAAGCCGTGATATTCACTGGGCCCTTTATCCCAGAAACCCTCAGAGCCTGAGTTATTCTCTGAGCAACCTTGAACACATTCACCCCAGCCGGTACAGAACAATTCTCAAAATCCCACCAAACCGATACCATCACGCTTCGAATTTCTTCTTCGGAACGAGAATAACCTCTTCTCTTCAAGCTCTCTTCCATGGCAGATCCTCCAGTCCTGGTTCTCGAGTGGAAGAAGAAGAAGAAGAAGGGGCATCGAGTTACAGAAGACGGGGAGTGTTGCAGAAGGACCTTGCATTGTAAGAGAGCTCTCATGGCGATGAGATTTTAGAGTTTCTCAGTGCCAAATGGGGGCGCCCATTTCAGGGAGAAGAGGAAACGGGCTTAAACCCCCTTTAAACCCTAACGTGGGTAAAACCCAGAGGTACGTTGCTGGTGGTGTAACGTGCTCTGGTTTAGCGGGAGTACAAAAAGGTTCGGTGGGCCTTAGAGTAGCGTGAATTGCGTGTACTTGCGAGATCTCTTTGTACTACTACTCCGTCGTCAGGCTGCTTGAATTTTTTTTGTTTGGGTAAGTCAGTAGGGGAGAAGGCCATTAATAAGTATCAGGAAAATTTCATATATAAAATTCATGGTTTCAAAAACTAACCTCTTAATTGTTTTGATTTCTATCGGCATTCATTTCTTGCTACTCCTTTCCACCAACCCCTTGAGCTCGACCTTATCAAGCTCCCCATCTCATTAGGTGATCTCTCTTTAAAACCAAACATTTCTATTTTTTATCTGTGCTTGTCATCATTATCATCCGGGTTTTATCTCAAATATTTAGTTCAACTGCACAAATTATGTTCCGTCATTTCGTTTTATTAGGAGTCATCCCTCAGTCAAAACATAAATTACTATATCTCTTCACATTACTTCCATCCATATCTTTTTTTTCTTCCTCTTAACTTTAAATAGCCTTCCACTTGAACCAAATTTTCCCTTCTAACTTCTATCCATATTTTTTTTGTTCTTTTTTTTATTTTTTTAGAACTTTCCATTTGAATCAAATTTTCCCTCCTAACTAGCAATGTCTTATGTCGATGCTACACATGGTCAGGCCACCTGAGTCTACTTTCTCTCGTCTTATTACCTATTAGAGATACTTCTAAGTTCCTTCAAATAAATTCATTTTAATTTTTATTCTTTCTTGTCTTACTACTCATCCATCTCAACATCCTTATCTTCACTATACTTATTCTATGAATATATTATTTCTTGACCGCCCAACTCATTATATGAATATATTATTTCTTGACCGCCCAACATTCCATTATGTAAAATATAGCTGGTCTTCCATCCGCCCTATAGAAATTTTTTTTTAGATACATTAGTATGCAATGTTTATATAAATACGGTAAAAACACTTCTTTACTTTATCCATCCGTTGTAATTCTATGAAAACCCTTATCCTTTTCCTCTGCACCTAAAATCGTGAAGACTCTCTCTCTGGCCATCATAACTCATCAACCTAAAAACCTGGTTCTTTTTTCATTTTTACCTAAATTTGTGAACTCTCTCAGCTACTTACTATAATTCATAGGTTTATTTTTACACATAATTCATGGGGTCAGAGGCTCTATCAGTTGAAAAGTTATTTGTGGACAATAATTTCCGATAGACAATGATTTCACACAACGGTTTGTATGGTAATATGATGCAACTAACTTTCAAAAAAAAAATTTAGGACCGATCCAAATTTTAAAATGTACATAGATAGAGAGAGAAGAGCTTCTAGGTTCAAGAACAGAAGTAAGGTTTGACTTTGGTTGGGTGGAAGGAACCAATGATAACAAAGGCTCGGGGAAGATGGTTCTAAAAAGAGAGTGACCGCGAACAGAGAGAGCGTTTTAGGAGGGTGTTTATGAGAATGGGATGGAGAAAAGAGATGGTTTTTAGCACTTAGCATATTGATTGGGGCAAATTTCAAAAAAGAACAGTAAATGAGGGAGGTATTACGAAAGGGGGTGAGTGAAAGGTGTAAGACAAATATAATGCCACTTGAAAATCAAATAACTACGAAGTTTTTCTGGCAAGACCAATTTTTTGGGGGTTTAGTATGATATTTTTCCTTCAAATTTTGGCATCCGGTTTAAAATAATAGGATATTTATTTACAAGACACTAAATTTGAAATTTTAATTCATGAATGTTAGATTTGACCATCAAAAAATTGAATAATCTTAATTCCATCTTAAAATGCTAATTTTCAAGCACGTTCTATGAAGTCTTTTTCCGAGGTCGATTAGTACGTTGAGGAGGTTACTTCTCCAAATTCTGGGGACTCCTAGGTGGCTTTTAATATAGGGAATATTTATGTGGGAGCATAAAATCTTTTAAAAAAAGTAAATGTCGTCTTTTTCAAAAAATTCAAAAAATAAAAATAAAAATTATGAGAAGTGATTCTTTTAATGATCACGGTGGTTTAAACTAAAAAATAACCCAAAGTGAAATATTTGCAAAATCACACTAGCAAACTTTAATAATCAACTATAAGTTTATTTTTTGATATTTGACTTCTTAATTGTTGACACCCAAGATTCGGCTCAATGTTATGGACATAGTTTAGGTAATTTCTTCATCTCAAACCATAGGCAGAGCTTCCAATTTGCCGTACAACCCCCTCAGTGCATTGTAGGACCCTTGGATATCAAAATCGACTACACTAACAGCCTAAAACTCCCTATAGGACTTACCCTAGGAAAACTCATTTATTTTAACATCAGGCCTATTGAATTTGAAAGTTATGGGCAAAATACTAACAATATCTGAAATAACCACTCCTTTGCCTTCAACTTCTAGAATAATATTGTCCACTATTAATACTTTAAGCATGTTATACAGGGGTTCTTTAGTGATGAAGAGATCACCTCTTGGGGTCATAAACATGTTGAGTCTATGTACCATTGATTTCATGCCCATCATTGGCTTTTTCAAGTTTATCCTCGTAAGTTTCTTTTTCCTCCTTTTGTTTTCCTTTTTACAATATAGTTTGGTTATGCCAATAATCTTTTGATTGATGTTCGATTTTCCTAGAATTGTAGCAATAAACTTTCATTGGTCTGGGTATGAGACTCACCTTGCTATTCCACTTTCTTGGATTATTATTTGACTCCAATTTCCGGTTTTCAAGTAGTACTTCCACTTGAAGTAATAGGCTTATAGCTTTTTTTGATGGGTAGCTTGAATTTTCGAATCATCACACTCATTGCATCAAACTCCATCCTTCAATTTTTAGAGAGATGGCAACTCAAGTGTCATTTTCTATCTTTACACCTCCAATTGATCATACAGATCCTTCACTTTTCAATAAAATTATACAATGGAGTCATTACCTTGCTCATATGCATGTAATTATACTTCCAAGAATGCCTTCCTAGCACCGCTTACCTGTTCGTGCACAATGGCTAATCAATCATATACTTCTTTTGTTATTTCTACCGCCCTCATATAAGAGAACATGTGTGGCCCACATGAGATTTGAATGGTATATAGATCCTTGGTATTCTAAGTCTTCCATTACACAAGTTTATCTGAGCAAAAGGGTCTAAGTTCAATCCCATCGAATACATTCTATAGAACTTGCCCTATCAGATAGCTACATCCCATCGACTCCATCCTTTGATTTTAAGAGGTGATGAAAACCCAAGTGTTATTCTCTGTCTTTACACACCTTTCAATTGATCACACAAATCTTTTACTTTTCAAGAAAACTCTGCAAGTAGCCTTTTACCTTGCCTACATGCCTGAAATTCTACTTCCATGAATTCCTTTATAGCACTGCTTACGTGCGTGTACATTGGCTAACCGATCCGAGGCTTCTTTTGATGTTTCTACATTCCTCATATAAGAAAACATATCTGACTCACATGAGATTGGAATTGTGTATAGAGCTTTGCCATTCTTTTTTTTCCATGACACAAGTTCAATTGGTCTAGATTCAATCCCATCAACTACATCCCATAGACCTTGTTCTATCGAATGGCTTCTGAACTACATTCTAATCTCTATAATTCATTGTGGTCAAAACTTCAAGAATAATGACACTTGAGGTTGACATGGCAATGTTTCATTTTTTATTTTTCATTATTTTTCTTTGTTTTCCATTTTTTTGGCAATAAAAAATCAATTACAAAAAAACAAAAAATTAAAGATCGGAACGAAGAACTAATCTCTACGCGCTGAGTCCCGAATCTTAAGAAGTTGGCTCTGATACTATTGTGAAAGTATGTGCATAAGCTTTGGGTGTTGACACCACGATTTAATGCGTACACATATGAAAAATTTGGGTTAAAAAAAAAACTTTTATTTCAGAAATCTTTAGCCTTTGTGGGCTGTTACATATTATTTGTCTTGTGCAATGTAAATCGAGCACATCTATGAATACTTCAAAAGTAGTGTAGATCGAACAAATTTATGAAAATCTTTAAAATTGACGGTCCGTAAAATACATTACAAAACAACTATTTTTCTCTCTACTCTTTAAATTGATCATCTCTACTCTATCTCTCTCTACATCTTTAAATTGATCATCTCGATTTCACGATATATGAACATTTCGAACCATCAATTATCAAGATTTTTAAGTATCATAGATTTGTTCGATCTATATTACTTTTGAAGCTTTAAAAGTTTATAACTAGAGATAAAAATAAATTTTAAAAGTTTATAACTAGAGATAAAAATAAATTTTCGTGCCATTACAAAGATTTTCAGTATTGAAATCTCTTTGGACACTATTTGAAGGTGCGCCCTTATTTGTTTAGAGGCTCGGCCGAATACAAATCACACGCAATAGGTTTTCAAGCGTTTTGGAGGTGCGCCTTACTTCTACAGTAAACGACGTATGAACCTCACCTTCTTTTTATTGGTCATCTACTGTGGGAGCCGATTATTTCTGTGAAAGAGAGATCAGTGTGTCTCGGTCAGGGAAGTAGGTTAGAGGCGGAGGACAGTGAGCGTGACAGGGTGGGGATGTCGTTCCTGTGGGAGAAGAGCCCCGCATGGCGGTGGCTCATTCGCAGGACCCGCGATTCGAAGCCATTCTTCTTCACCTTCGCAATGGTCTGCGGCGTCGTCCCGGCCGTGATAGGCTATGGCGTGATGCAGCTCACATCTTCCCACACCGAACAGCTTGAGGCTCAGCTGCGGAAAACCGCCACACCCGACTCCCTGGTACCCTTGTCTGCCCTAATTCTTTGTATCTCCTTGTGAATTTACAGTAATGGTAGGGTCGCAAGTTCGCAATAATAATGGCTCGAAAAAGGCAAGGGGCACTATGAATTTCTTCTATCCGTCACAGACCAAGTTGTTTATCCTAAATATTGCATCAGCTATCTGTTCATCATCTCCTTTCTTCCTTTAAGCTAGTCAACATTTGTCATTATACATGGTCTTTTTAGTTGAATTTGATGTTAAAAGATGAAAATTACTCTGGCCTTCATTTATTGAAATTTTTTTCTCTTTTTTGTCCTCATCAATGTCTTGGTTCTATTTATGCTGTGGAAAATGATTATTCAGGTGTATGTTTTCTAGTCTTATGTAATGAAGATGTTGAAATCTAGTGTCTTATGTATCTCAGGGTTTCGAAGAAATTAGTTTCTTAATTTATTATTCTTCACACTTTGGTTTGTGCCGAAAGATACAAATTTTTCTCCATTCCTTGAAGCTCATCTTTTTGCAGGAGAGAGAGAAGGACCGGAGTAAAAGGACTCCATCTATCACAGATTCAATGAATTCTGTCAATGGTTTCTTCATCTTCTTGATGATTATCCTTGTCTTTGAATGCATCATCCACCAAGTTTAAAGCCTTGGTCAATGAAAGACAATGTGAACAACTCCTCTATTGTTGAAGCGCCTGATAGGGTTGCCTCCCTTTTTAATGTGATCACTACATTGCTTTTCCCTTTAGTGTCCTGTCCCTCATTAGTAATAATAGTTTCTTGTTTGCATGTGGTTAAGGATAGGGCTGAATTTGAAGGACTCCCTATGTTGTGAAGTGACTGGTGTGGGTTTAGTCGTTTAGAGCACCTTCACTTCCACATACTTTAAGATATCCGCCCTTAAAAGGCCTTGTATTGGTTTCCCTAGGAGTTGAGTAGACTCCAGCGATTCCACTGGAGTCACTCTTAGCTTTGAGGGAACATATATTATTTGGCGCTCATCTTGTAACATATTCTCAGCCTCTCTTCTGTTTCTTTCAGAATAGATGGCTGATTGTCGAGTGATTGTTATTTCCCAATCAAGGCATTGAGGACATGTATCTCATCCATTACTTGCTTCAAAAGCCCGTGTCCTTGATTCTGGGTAAGACAAGAGCCATAGATTTGGCCCATTCAGGTAAATATGGCTGAACAAAGTAAGTATCCTAAGGATTAAGTTGCTCTGTTACCAAAACTGATGTAAGACCAAGGGGACTTGGTTCCTACACTAGTGTGATTCATGAGGTAGGCTTAGAAATAAAGGTTTGGGGTTGGTTCTGGAGCTCTAATGGGGCTAAAGCTTACTGGAATTTCTCAGTTCTAGCAAACAAAACCGATGTAGAAAGAAGGGGGTTTGGCTCCGTCACGAGTGTAATATGTCTAGCAAGCTTAGAGAGAAAGGATTTAGAGGTAGGTTTAGGAGTTCTAATTAGGTGAATATTTGGGAGCTCTAAAGGGTTTGGGTCTCTTATGAAGTTTAGGACAACATAGTTTTGAATGTGTTGAGTTATCAGTAGGAGTGGATGGTATCAGGTGCAAAGGGCTTAGGGCTGAAGTTAATTCTATGTGAAAGGTATTCATGATTAGCTTAAGGGGAGGAAAAGGAATACCTTCCTAGAAATTAACAAGCCAAAAAGATATTATGATGTTTATAAACGAAATATAGGGTTTAAACTTGGCTTTGAAGGCTATGAAGGTAAGTATATCATCAGGTTGGTATTCTACTAGAGTACTTGGGGTTTCCAGATGTATGGTTGGGATTTATGGAAGAAGGTTTGAATGGGGTTTGAATGGGTGATTAATTTGGCTGTGGGAAATCTTCGATGGGGATGTTCCACATGAGGGGGGAAAGAACAGGCCCCAGCTTATGTGGGCAGAACCTCGAACCTACAAGCTGGAGTCTTGTTGTGCCAAACAAAGAAGAAGAGTCTTGACCTTTATCAGGAGACTCTCAAATTAGGTTGGAGTTATAGAACACTATCTCTACGCAAAGAGTTGAGGAATCTCTCTTTTGAAAGTGCCATCTCACATCAACTGAAAGCCAAACTTTATTACATAATTTGATCTATTTGGCTATGGGCCTCTAAGGTTATTTATAGATTTATGCAATGATTCAAAAAGCGGACCACCTAGCACCTAGGCAGTTTAGATGGCCAAGGCGCATCGCCCAGGCGGTCTAGATGGCCAAGGCACATCGTCCAGGCGGTACCGAACCCGCCTAGGCGGGCGCCCAGGGTGGCTGCTCAAGGCCTGCGCCCCGCCTAGGCGGTATGGAACCCGCCTAGGTGGGCGCCCCGCCCAGAGGTGGAATGTTTTTTTCAAAGTTGACAAAAATTGATCAAAACATCACCCATGATATTAGATTTAATTTTTGATGTTTTATAAATCTATTGGGGGGTTTTTTAGAAGATTTTGAGTCCTTAGAAGCATCTTTGACTGGGCATCCTTTTTGGATTCGACTGGGCCGCCCAGGTTCTGGGCGCCCGCCTAGGTGCTGGGCGGCTTGGATCCCCCAGGCTGCCTAGGACCCGCCTAGCGCTTTTTGAAACACTGAATGTATGTAACTTGATCTATTTGGCCATGGTCCTCTAAGGTTATTTATAGATGTATGTAACTTGATCTATTTGGCGATGGGCCTCTAAGGTTATTTATAGATGTATATTTGGCCATGGGCCTCTAAGGTTATTTATAGATGTACGAATCCCTCTTTATTTGACATAGCTTGGGACTCAATTTATCTCTACTTTCCTAAACTTCCTAATTTTCTAGATTCTTAAAGAATCAAGTGACTAGTTCCTTTATAGTTGTAGGTAATTAAACGTACACAAAACATGGGAAGAATCTTTCTAGACTCTTAAACTAAACTAGGAAACTAACTCTACTTGCAAAACAATGAAGAAACAACTTACTAAGAGTTTAGAAGTCAAAGCTACCAGTACTATGCTTTCTACAGGGCCTGACACTTGTTTGTCTATCGCGACGATCTCTCCCAATTTCTGTCTCTCTACAGCTCTCACTATCTCCACCTCTGTTCCTCCCCTTTTTCCCATCCTCCTCCTCCTCTCTCTTTCTCTCTCTCTCTCTCTTTTCCTTTTTTGCTTCTTTCTTTCTCCCACTAATTTTTTTCCTTATTTTGCTTCTTTCTTTCTCCCACATTTTTTCTTTCTTTATTGGGACATTTTATTCTCCCCCTCTTCTTTGTATTCTGAGCACCCATCTTGTGGGATGCCTTTTACGCCCTCATGGTTTTTGTACTTTATATTACAATCAATCTAAGAGATAACCTGTTTCCCAAAAAAGAAAAAGCAAAACAACTTCCTAAGAGTTTAAGGGAGTATAAGAAGTAAGAACATTTATTTTTGATACTAGAAGGTCACAACCACTTGTATCCATCACATGGAAAATGAAGAAACTAGGGGTGTTGTTGTAGAGTTCGAGAAAATTCTTTTGGACTTTGAGAAGGTTGTTGACATGGGCACAGGTTAGAAGCTTTGAATGGCAAGTCTGCCTTGTCGAGGGAAAAATTGACTGTATTAGGCAGCTTTTATTGAGTGTTTGGTTTGTGAGACACAAGTTCCCATTGTTTTTGTTTTTTTTGCAATTAAAATTTCCATTATTTTTTGAGGTGTGGCATTTCATTTCACATCCAAGGCATAAACAAATGGCCTGAGTTAACTTCTTGCAGGAAAGTGGCACATAGAAAAAATAAAAGAAGTTGGTGAGATTCAACTTTTCATGTATAATGTTTCTATTTCCTATGGGATAGTACATTTGGCATTTACAAAGGAGACCAGTAGGGCTGCCCACAACAATAAAAAAGTAGGTATATCATGGGGGCTTCAACTTTCCATATATTTTTTGTATTTCCCTGTGTATATATGGGATAGTAAGGTTTGGCATATAAAGGTAATGCATATTAGGAGAAGAAAAAAAAAGATTAAAGGTTAAATGGAAGTCCTGCCTAGTGAATGGCGCTCATTTTGAATGCCCCTCATTTTGTGAGTTTAAACGATGAGTTACATTCTATGATAGCCTTCATTCCATGAGAAGTTCACATAACAACAATTATCAAAGGATTACACATAACAAAATTTATAAGTAGCATTTTATTTATTTCATCGTAAATGAAAATTTTCAAATTTAATGCATTTAAGTTAAACATGATAACCCTATCATATGTGCTCATAATAATTTTGAAAAGTAAGAGTAGTTAATGATATAGTAAAAAACAAAACAATTATTTACTTACATTAAATATTGAATACATTATATATTTCTTTTAATTTTGTTTTCCTATTACTTTTAATTCTTGTAGTTAGGATTTATGAGTAGCTAATCATAAACCACATGGTGATAATAAATAGAGCACAAAAAATTGAATTATAAATATTCTAGTTGGATATAATATTAGTCACTAAGTTCATTTTTTGACAAAATTAAGATCAAAATATCAAAAATTAGATTATTTGAATTTATCATAATTTTTTGTTACTGCTATGCTAAGATATCTTTTGAAGATGTGATCTAGAAAATTTAGAATTTTAAAATTTTATTCCACAGTATTTTTTTTTTTTTCAAAACTTTTTGAATTTTTCACATTACATAAGATTTATAAAAAAAATATTATATCTAAATATTTTAAAATTTTTACTTGTATGGGCAAATGTCTAGTTTTAAGCCGAAGTACAAGAAACCTAACACAATGCAAGGTTTAAAAAAAGGGTCCGCCCAGCACCTAGGTGCCCAAGACCCCTAAGACCGCACACCTAGGCCTAGGCGCCCCGTTCTGGGTGGCTGTACCTGGGTGGGAGCCCAGGTGGGGGCGCCCCGTTTTGGTGTCCATGTAAATGACCAATGGTTCTCCAGAAAATTCTTAATAATATGATAATATCCACATCTTTGGCAGACGTTGATTCATGGATCATCATCAGGAAGTGTTCCCATACATGATGGTTGCATTCATGGTTCTCTCTT